CCCCCCCCCCCCCCCCCACCCCCCGTGTGATCGTGGGATGACCACCCTCACGATACGTGGGCGCAGGTGGTCGATTTCACTGCGGACTGGAAGGTGCCTGCGTGCGCCTTCTACGCCAGAAGGGGGACGCCTGAGCCACCCACCACCACCACCAGCAAAGAGGTGCACACACACACACACACACAGAGAGAGAGAGAGAGATCAAAACGTCTGCGTGTGTGTGTGTGTGTGTGACTGTGGCGTGCAGCCGCCTGTGCCAGTGCCCCCATCAGGACCATCAGCGTCTCCCCCTCCGCCATGCCGGAAGCGCCAGTGCCCCATTTCTCTCACTCTGTTCCAAACGGACGAAAACCTCAGCCAAAACCAACACGTACATACGCACGTGTCAAGTGAAGAGCGCAGCGCAGCACATACGCTTGGCTGTCTGTTGACGCCCATCCCATTAATACCTGTCGTGTGTCTCGGTCGTTGTGACGACGGACGGACGAACAGGCTCTCTCGAGCCCGCCCTCATTCACCCGGTCGGTCCGCACACGAGTGCTGCAGTGGCTGGCTGCACCATGCTCTCTCCCATGTCATGTGTGTATGCCTTGCCTTTGATTCTCTCAGGCTTGGTCAGAGTGAGATTGCCCGCCTGATGTCCGAGCCACAGGTGCAATGCGGTGCACTTGACTGACCTGCAGACACGTGACACACGTGTTGTGTTGACCTGCACGCGGGTCTGTATACCAACTATAGGGTCTGCTGGTGGCGCTCGACGCGGAGTTCGTCGCGCTGGAGCTCGAGGCCGCCGAGATTCGGTGCGTATCATTGGCTGCAGCACACACACGCACTCACTCTCTCTCTCTGTGTATGTGGTGCAGTGAGGACGGCAGCAAGCTCGTGCTCAAGCCCTCACACCTTTCGCTTGCAAGGTCATCGGGTGTGTCTGTCTGGGGTGTACTCTCTCCCTCCACACACCCACACAGACGCATGTGTGTGTGTGTGTGTGTCATGTCATTGTGTGCAGGGTGTCTGTGGTGCGTGGCGAGGGGCCTCTGGAGGGAGTGCCGCTCATCGACCACTACATCCACACAAAGGTAGGTAGGTCTGTCTGCCCGTCAGCCTGTCTGTCTGTCTTTGTGCCTCTGCCTTGGCGAGTGTGGTGTGAAGTGATGCGTGCGTGTGTGTGTGTGGTTAGGACACTGTCCGGGACTATCTGACCCGGTTCAGCGGGCTGAAGCCGGGGGACCTCGACCCGCTGCACTGCAGGTACAGTACGGCCACACCACACCACACCACACCACACGCACACACAGCTCTCTCTTGGCGTGTGTGTGTGTGCTTAATGAAGGCACTGGCTGACGACCAAAAAGTCGATATATCAGAAGCTGAGATTTCTGGTCGACATGGGGTGCAGGTGAGATGAGACGTGGCTGAGAGAGTGAGAGAGAGAGAGAGGAGAGCAATGGCCGGCCACCCGTAAATTTCTTGTGCAGGTTTGTTGGCCACGGCTTGCGTAAGGACTTCCGCATCATCAACATACTTGTGCCGTCACACCAGGTGGGATGTGGTGTGCACAATGAGCTGAGCGCACACACGCCATTTGACTGTGGTGTGCCACCGTCCGTCACACACAGATCATCGACACAGTGGACCTCTTCTACCTCCCCGGTCAGCCAACCAGTGCCAGCCACCAGTGCACCACACACGACAGACACCTGTCCGCCTGCCTCTGTATGTGTGTGTGTGTGTGTGTGTGCAGGGCAGCGGCGTCTGTCTCTCAAGTTCCTCGCCGCCCACCTGCTCAACACGGCCATACAGCAAGGGACGCACGACAGTGTGGAAGACGCCAAGACCGCCCTGCGCATATACAGGCACGCGACGCCACGCCCTCCCCCCTCCCCCCGGCACAACACCTGCACACACCTGCCTGCCTGCCTGCCTGCCTGTGTAGCTTGACCATCCATCCATCCATCCATGTGTGTGTGTCTGCGCGTCGGGTGCTTTGTGTGGTGTGTGTGCAGAAGGTGGGAGGAGCTGCAAGCCAGCGGCCTGCTGCACGACGTCATCCGGCACCTTTACGGCATCGGATACCAATCCAACTGGAAAGTCTGACTGACTCTGGGCCGTGCCGTGCCGTGTCGTGTGTGGTGAGTCGTGTCGTGGGTGTGGTTTGTCACATTAATGCGCCATTTGGTTGGTTGTCGTTTTATCGGTTTGTCGGTCGGGTGGAAGAGTAAGTGAGTGTTTTTCGTCCGGGACTTTGTCGCGTCTGCCTGGATCTGGACACACACACACGCACACACCCACACACACACACGCACACACCCACACATCTGGAAGTGGTGTCTGTCGATGGTGTGACTTCATCCATGTCTGTGTCTGAACCCACAGACAGTCCCAACATATGGGAAAAAGTTCGACTTGACGAGAGTTGGTGTGTCTCTCGGCATGTGTGTGGACGCGAGAAGTGACACATGGTGACACACACACACGCACACACAACCGGACACAGACACCTGCAGGCCTCTATCACTGCTGCACCTCTCCAGCCCCCATCTGGGCAGCCCCTTGCCCACTCTCTTGCTGCTGCTGCTGCTGCTGGTGCTGCTGCTGCTGCTGCTGCTGAGAATGGCTGACTCCATCCTCGACCATGCGCAGCAGCCTGAGGGGATGCATTTCCACACAAGACACGCAAGACACTCATTCATTCCGCAGAGAGACGTGTGTGTCTGTCTACATACCACTCGACGAAGCGCGTCGCGTGGCCATTCACAGCATACGGCTCCTCCGCCCCCCTAGAGATGCACCCCACCGCCAACACACACACACACACGCACATACGATCGGTGCATTGAATTGCTGCACACAGAGGCCTCCCAGGCGCTTACTCTGCGTGTGCGGGGGATTGGCCCTCAGCCGGTAAGGGGGGAGGGTCTCTGATGGCCTCGGCAATCGGCCCGTGCCGCTCTTCGCTCCAGGGACAAAACTGGATGAATGAACACAGACAGACAGACAGCACGTCTTATTCTTCTTCTCTCTCTCTCTCTCTCTCTCTCTCTCGCTCCCCCTGTGTGTGTGTGTGTGTACTTTCAGTGTGTCGTTTGTGTGCGTGTAGACGTCCGCTTCTCTGACAGTCCTCTCAGCCTCACTCAGAAACGACCCCTTGTCATTCAGAAACCTACACATGCACACCCACGCACACACACAGACATCCACCCGCCCTGTGCCCCGGCGCTCACACACACACATACACACACACACACACATACATGTCTCGCGCTTGGTTGTGCGGTTCTCTTCCCATGGTCATGAGGTGCGGGTCGCAGAACACCATCTTCTTGAGAAAGGAGAGGGCCAGTGCGATGTAGTCGTGACCCAGACACCAACGCGGGAAGGCCGGCTGACTCATGGATGACACACACGTGCATCCGTCCACCCACGGGAATCAATCGACACATCACATCCGCCTACAGAAATGTCGACTTTGCCGGTGTGTGGGTCGACGAAGGGGTGGAAGATTGGAGGGGTGAAGGTGAAGACAGGCGCCTCCTCTGGGTACCCTGCACACACAGACACAGACACAGACACAGACACAGACAGGTATCCGCACCTTGGGCCTTCTGACCGTCAGGAATCTCGACATTGAACTGAAAGGCCCCTCCTTTATATGGCCCCGCGTGGGCGAATAAGACACCGTACCACGCTGACACATAACACACATGACAGACAGACAGACAGACAGACAGACACAGAAAGGAGAAAGAAAGCACCGCTCCCTGACCACCCCGACCGAGTGTGTGTAGAACTATAATTCGTGTCTCTCTTGTTTCTCGTGGTTGTAGTCACTGACTCACTGACTCACTCACTCACTGCCAAAGTGGTCGAAGGAGGGGAACACATACACACCCTCGGGACAATGCTCCTTCAGGTGCTTGCTGAATCAGTCAAGCAACCAACCAACAAGGCGGGCAGGGAGGGAGGGGGCGACAAGAGAGAAGGGACAAGTACACACGCACTAACCCACCACCCTCTCGCTCACTATTCGACGACAACGGCATATTTCCTGATGTTCTCCTTGACGCTCCGCCAGCCGTCCACCGCCCTCCCCACACCCGACCGATCCACAGGCAGCTCCTGATACTGACCCACTATGCGACTCTCTGCATGCATGACATGTTAATAACCGAATGACAAACAAACCACCCACCTCCCACAAAGTATATAGCGCACCGGCCACCCTATGCCTCCTGGCGGTGGTGAGCAGGTCCACCAATGCCGACGTCCCTGCGACGCCGTCGGGCGGCCCTGGCTGCTGCTGTTGCTGTGGCTGCTGGTGTTGGTGCGCCATGTGTCTGTGGCTGAGGGGGGCATGGTGGTGCTGACCCAGGGGCAGACGGGGGACCGTCACGGGCACATTCCCCGTCGTCGTGCGATGGCTAGGACCGCTCATGAAGGGATGCTCGTAGGGAGGTGGGGCCGGTCAGCAACGGTGAGACGGAGCGCCGTCTCTTCAAGGCGAGCAGCTGTGCAGTGAGCACTCGTCCAGCACGACCAGATCAGCCGTGTGAGCGCCAAGACGGTTTTCCCTCCGATCGCTTCCCCTGCGAGCTGAGCTCACATACGCACCACAGATGATAAAAAATTCACGATAACGTTCTTCTCATCCCTTGTGACACGCATTGAACGGCTTGTGGAGCGACAAGAAGCGACGCTGTCTGTTTGTCCTCTCCTCCCCCCTCCTTATTCTCTTGTCACCCTTCTTGTGGGACTCAACCATGCCCTCCGGTGGCTTGCCTGCCTGACGGACACACACACAGGTGGGCAGCAGGGCCTCTCGTGCGTGCGTTGCGTGCACAGGTAAATGGGACTTTGTGTGTGGTTTTTGGTGTGTGGTTTGTGGTTTGTGGTTTGTTCAGAGAATGGACGGTCTTCTCATGAAGCCACTGTCATCCCTGCGCGCGGCCGTGATGCGGCACGTTGACTGGCGGACGTGTGTGCTGCTGGTGACGCCGGTGGTGCTGCTGCCGGTGCCGTTGCTGTGGCGCGTTGAACCGTCAGACATTGCCACCTGCATGTCAGGGAGGGAGGGAGGGAGGGAGGGAGGGAGCTCGTGGAACACACGCATCGATTCATCCATCCATCGGTGGGTCGTGTGTGGTCACACAGGTATGTGATACTGGTCATGGGGGTGTATTGGATGACCGAGGCCGCGCCGCTGACAGTGACGGCACTGATGCCGCTCTTCGCCTTCCCCCTGCTGCACGTCGTGCCTGCCGACGAGATCGCCACGCAGTACTTCAAAGACATCATCTTCCTGTTCCTCGGCGGGCTCATGGTGGCTGGTACGCACGACGCAATCAGTGCACAAAAAAGCGATTCATGTATGGGTCGCGTGGCCAGCGATTGATGGGTGTGTTCTGTGCGTATACCTGTCTGTCTGTGTTGATGTGTTGATGTGTTTAGTTGCGGTGGAGTCGACGTGTCTGCACCACCGTCTGGCCCTGGTGACGCTCAAGTTCATGGGAGCCAAGGAGCACCGGCTGCTGCTGGGCGTCATGGGGACGACCTTCTTCTTCTCCATGTGGATATCCAACACGGCCACTGCCGCCACCATGGTACCCGTGGTCATGGCCCTGACCACCGAGCTGATACACATCGCCAGGGAAAGCGGCATGGCCGACGAGGAAAAGGGCCAGGTGAGTGAGTGAACTCGTGACCGACACAACTTGCTGCACACACGCGTATGTGTGGATGTGTGGATGTATGTGCTGGTGGTGGATGATATATATGACAGGACGTGATTGACGTGCAATCTTCGCCCGCGGTCACTGTGCCGCAATTGCCTTCTAACAGGGACGCCTCGTTCGACAGCAGCGCGGCCAACACGCCAAGTACAGACACACACATACACATACACGCACACAAAAGCAACTCGGTATGCGTGTGTGTTGACTGCAGTGACGGGGTCGACGGCGCCCACAAGCATCAATGGCAACCCCTCGTTCACCAGGCTGACCCTCAAGTCGGTGTCGGAAGAAGGTATGCAAGAGCGAAGAGGACGAGACGGGCAGGCAGATTGCCCCCCGACGTCTGTGTGTGTGTGTGTGTTGTGCGTTCACTGTAGGTGTTGAAGGCCGCACCGACGTCTCGGCATCTGCCGCCCCGTCCACCAATCCCGTGTGTGACAGCCCGCCCGGCGAAAGGAGGGAGGAGCACCGAGGTGAGTGAGGCCCTTCTCTCTGTGGCGCATGCGTGTAGACGCAACAGAAACACACGTGTGTGCACGCTGCGCTCGTTGTGTGTGTGCACAGAGATCTTCAAGTCGTCTTTTTCGTTGTCGCGTGAGGAGCTGAGCCGCCACGAGCTGGGGCTGTGCAAGGCCATGCTGCTGGGGGTCGCCTACTCAGCATCCATCGGCGGGTGGGTATTTGCGAAGCACAGATGTACACGTGGATGCCTCCATCTCTCTCTCTCTCCGTGTGTGTGTGTGTGCAGTTCGTCAACGCTCACGGGCACGCCGCCCAATGTGGTGCTGCTGGGGCTGTTGAACGACAAGTACGGCACCGCACACCCCGTCGACTTCGCGTCGTGGATGGGCTTCTCGCTGCCCGCCTGTAGGGTCACACACGTGCATGTGTGACTGCCTGGATGGATGGAAGGACACATCGGACACATCGTGTGTGTGTGTGTGGTCACACACACAGGTATATTGAACCTCCTTCTGACCTTCCTGTGGCTGCGCTTTGCGTATCTGCGGCCATACAAGAGGAACAGACCAACACGAACAGCAGAGCAACAAAGGTGCAGTGACTGCGACCCCTCCAACCAAGACACGCACGCATACACCGGCGCACGGCTCTCTCTTGGGTGTGGGGTGTGTGTGTGTGTGTGTGTGCAGGCTGAGCGAGGACAGGTTCCGCGCGGTGCTGACACGCGAGCTGGACCGAATGGGCAGCATCAGCTTTGGCGTGAGTGACACGACAGACACGAACGAGGAGGGGCACAGATATGCTCAGTAGGTGTGTGTGTGTTTTTGTGCGGGTGGTATATGTGTGTGCAGGAGAGCAGCACGATCATGCTGTTCCTGGTGCTGTTGACTCTCTGGCTGACGCGGTCCCTCGTGTGGGGCCGGTGGTTCACTGACAGATCGGTCAATGAAGACACAGTAAGCACACCACTCACACCACCACAGCACAGGAATGGATGGATGGATGAATGTGTGTGGGGTCGACCGACCAACTGGATCAGGGGGCAGAGAAGGAGTTTTCCACGGTGTCTGACGCCACGTCGGCCATGCTTGTCGTGTTTGTCATGTTCCTCTGGCCGAGGGAGATGCCCCAATGGGCACACAACATCAGAAACATGGTACTCACACACACACACACACACACGGGGCTCCCGATGGATGGATGGATGGTTGCAGGTAAGGAGGCGCGGGAGGGCGCCAGAGCAGCAGCAGGAGCAGCAGCAGGAGCCTGCCAGCAGCAGCAGCAGCAGCAGCAGCAACGGGGGCAGCCGACGGACTCTGCTCACCTGGCCAGAAGTGGAAAAGAAAGTTGCATGGGGAATCGTCATTTTGCTCGGTCAGTCGCCACACACCCACACCACACCCAGACAGAAGTGTTCACACGTGTGCCACGTGTGGATGTGTGGTGTGAATGGATCAGGAGGCGGTTTTGCGTTGGGTCATGCCGTCAAGCGCACGGGCCTGTCCAAGCTGATCGGGATGCAGCTGCTGCGCCTCAACGTCTCACCACCCGCACTCATGGGTACACACCTCAGCCTCCCCTCCCCCATCACACGCGCGCACAGACACGCGTCGCCCTTTTTGTCGTTTTATGCAGCCATAGCAGTGATCTTGATGACGTTCACCACCGAGTTCACCTCCAACACCGCCACTTCCGCCATCGTCCTGCCCATCATATTGGAGATCGCGCAGCAGCGGTGCATCAATCCGCTCTACATGGCCATGCCCGTCGCCCAGGCAGCCTGCTTTGGTACCTAGGCACACACACACAGACCGACTCACACACACACAGATGGACCGACGCGACGCATCTTCATGTGTGAAATGCTGCAGCCTTTATGCTGCCGATAGCGACGGGACCGAACGCGATCGTCTTCTCGTCCGGCCTGATGCATGTCATTGACATGATGGCCGCCGGGCTCATCGTCAACATTTTCTGCATGGTCGTCGCCTTCGCATCAGGTGGGTATACCCTCTCCCCCCCCCCTCCATGGATCCATCCATGTGTGTGGGCGTGTCTGTGTGTGTGGGTGTGTCTGTGCAGCGAACTCTCTCGGCTTTCTGATGTACTCGATGGCCGAGTACCCCAGCTGGGCCCTCACGGAGAGCGGCATCAAGTGCACAGACCCCGTGACCAACGGGACGGCGTGGACGCTCATTAGCGGAGTCGACACATAGCCCACACTAGTCAGCCCACATTGCCCCTCAGGATGGGATGGGTGGGAATTCGGTGTGTACACTTACGCACGGATCAATGCATTTGCGGGGGGGATTGGGTGGAGAGAGAGAGGGAGAGAGAGAGGGAGGGAGGGAGAGAGGGAGGGTTGAAGGTGGGCTAACTGATAGGGTGCAGGGGGTGCCAGAATGCAGCGAATGACGCTGCATGGATGGGGGGGTGGGAGTGAGGGAATTTTTCTCGTCGGGTTGTCTTGTCTGTCGGGTTGCCGGTCGATTGCTCTTTCTCTCTTGCTTGGGTCGGTTGGTTGAGGGTCTGTGTGTGTAATCAATTTACATACAAATGTACACATCAACGCACGTACGGAGGCACCTGCCTGCCACCCCACCCGTCGCTGAATGCCTGAAGTGTTTTGCCTGCCTGATTTGCTTTGCTCGTTCACCCACTTGGCTCAGTCAGTTGCTGCTGACTGCTTGCTGGGGATGGGATCCTTAAGCTGGGACGCATTACACACACACACACACACATATCACAGACACACATACACATACACAGCGATTCACACAACGGTCTGCCTGCCTGCCTGCCTGCCTCTCTGCTCTGCAGGTCTGGGAATGCAGTTCACAAGCGAGACAGACAGACAGACAGTCGGTCGGCCTCCGTCTTTTTTTCAGTCGATTTTTTTCGTCAGACCCCTGTTCACGATTGGGATGCCGCGGTTGTCTGTCTGGATTTGTCGTCGGTGTGGGCTGGTGAGGGAGGGAGAGAGAGAGGGGGAGGGAGAGGAAGCGCCATCAAGCTAGTCAAGCTAGTTCGTTAGGCAGCTGCGACTGATCAACGTGCGATAGATTGGCAATGATGACTGAGTGAGCGAACGGAGAGCGCGGAATACGCCCTGCAGTGTCATGGATGTGTGTGTGTGTGGTAGCGGGGGAATTGGATGGATGTGTGTGTGTGTGTGTGCCTATTATTGCTCGTGGATGATTGCAATCATTGCAATCCAAAAAGTCAGTCAATGCGACGCCGTGCGGGTCGGTCTGTCTTTTTGCCGTTCGTCCGTATTAGTTGTGGGGGTGCAATGCACATATACAATATAGACATACAGTCGCTGCCTCATATCATAGACGTGACGTCTATTTGTCGTCTGGCCGGCTCGTATCGGTGAACTGTCTGCCTGCCTGCCTGCCTGTCTGTGCTGCGCGTGGCGGATGGTTTTCTGCCCTCCCTCCCTCCCTCCCTATCTGCCGTCTGCATGGGTGTGTGTAAGACCTGGACGGTTGGTACGGTGTGTTCCGCCTGCGCTTCGCTTTACTCTGAAATGATCGACTGACTCCAATCGGTCGTTGAACCACCACAACGTTCACCACAACGTGACGCCGTACATCCATCCATCCATCCATCCAGCCAGCCAGCCAGCAGCTAGGTTAGACACATAACATTGCTGCCTGCATTTAGCCACACACGACGTGACAACACCCACACAAAGCAAAGGCATGTAGCTAGGTGAGCATTCTGTACACGTCCATCCATCCATCAACATCAACCAACAGGCAGGCAGTACGTGGCAAGCAGAGCACCGCGCCACACCACACCACCCGCAATGCAACGTACAAAGTGATGGGGTGATGGGGTGAGTGAGTGAGTGAGTGGGTGGATGTGTGTGTGTCAGCCTGCCAGCCAGCAATGAACCACCAATGGGGTCATATCGCTTTTCTGTCTATCTCATCTGTTTGTCTCCATATGTACTACTTGAGGCTCTTGAATGCCTCCTGTGCCTCTCGGTCGACCTGTGCTATCACATCGAGGTCCGCACAGTCCTCACCGGCCCGCATGCCGACGTGTGGGTGGCTGCACGCCACGGCCGGCTCCCACACGCCCCCCTCCTCCACACGCGTGTAGCTGCCCAGGTCGGGAGGGCACATGTCCATCTCCAGGATCTCGTCGGCCTGGAGAGTAGACAGACACCACACAGACCATGTGCAGTCGCTGGCTGACTGAGTGGCTGGCTAACGGGTATGTGTGGGATGCAGCAGATGGCGATTGCGTCAGAGAGGTTGTTTGCGCGCGTGGTGCGTTCGGCCTCGAGGCTGTTGCGGTCCGGCCAGCCCACATCGATGAGGGGGTTGGGCTTGGGCAGCAGACGCCGAAAATACCGGCCGGCGAAGGTCTGGTCGACGGACGATGCTGCCGCTGTGGTCGTGTGGGGCGCTGTGTATCGGCTACGGGGGGACTGGTCGGGCGTCTTGCTGAACTCGTAGACACCCTGCAGCGCAGGGGTCAAACACACACACACACACACACACACACATACATCTACACGTCTTATGATCTGTCTTGAGTGCATCCATTCATTCATGCCTACCTTTCCGTCAGACGAAGGCACGACCACCTTCTCGAACGACGGCGGACGACGAATGCGCGACAGATCTAGGGCCATGTCGGGACGGCTGCTGCTGCTGCTATAGTTGCCATAGTTGCCATATCCGTAGCTGCCTCCCCCACTCCCATGCCCTCCCCCACCCGCAGCCGGCTCGGCCACCAGCTCGTTGTCGATATCAATGCCCCGGGCCAGAAGGTCGTCCATCACTCGGTCCATCGACTGGGTCAGATGGGCGTCGAGGAGGCCGTCGAAGCCCTCTGCTACGTCAGGGTGGCCGTCGTAGTCGGTGTCGGAATCAGAGTCTAGGTCGGAGTCATGGTCGTGCTCCTGTGCGACCACCACGGCCTCGCTCGAGGCCCGGTAGATGACGGGCGGGGACGACGAAGCGGCAGGAGGCGCAGAGGGAGGTGGGGCAGCAGCTACCTGAGCAAACACGGCAAGAGAGAAAAAAGTGTGACATGCATGCCATCCGTCCATCCATCCATCCATCCATCCATCCACCCATCGGTTGCTCATTTCATTCACGTACGTTGTCGTGCTGGCGCTCTCCCTTGTTGACAACAGCCGCCGCCGCATGCATATCCCCGTCCGAACCCATACCCTCTCGAGCATGCCTACGCCTACCCACCTCCTCCCCTGCCCCTCCCTCTCCCTCTCCCTCACGCACCAACCCCTTGACTCCACCACCGCCACCGCCACCACCAGCCGCCCTATCTGCCGCATGCTCCACCACACTAGAGCTGCCGCCCCGATTCCTCCGCCGGCCGAGAAACATGCCGCCCAGCAATGCCGCACGCCACCCGCTCCCACCGCCTTTTTCAGCACCACCACCACCGGCAGCACGCAGCTTGGCCCCGCCACCCGCCGCAGGAGTCGACTTGCGCGTGTCGGCTGTGGTCACCGTCTTCGCCAGCCTGTGCGTCACGCGTCTGACAAGCCCAGCGGCGCCGCTGAAAGTGTGCTTCTTGGGCGCCTTGGCGTCGGGCGGCTCAAGGCGGGGCTCCATGACGTCTGTGTCGTCGCCGCCAGGGCAGTTGAGGACTGCACCGGTGCGAGGCGTGCACATTGGGCGGCACGGCCGACGAGCGGATGGATGGGCAACCGACGTCAGGTCATCGGATGGCTACAGGGAGAGAGCTAGAGGTGTGAAAAGACCCTCAGCGGGAAAGCAAATGCAAAAGAACGGTTCCTACAAAGAACGGGAACATGCAAGCTCGCATCGCAAATGGCGCTGCTGCCGCAGTCGATTGACGATTACGAGAAGCTGGAGATGGTCGGAAAGGGCACATACGGGTGCGAAGCGAGCAGAGATGGCTCTGGGAGTGGCCGAGGCTGGGCTGGCTCTGTGTGTGTGTTATGGATGCATCCCTGTTGGCAGGACAGTGCACAAGGCTCGTGAAAAGAAGACGGGTCAACTCGTGGCACTCAAGCGGATCAACATGCGCAATATGAAGGAAGGGGTATGCTATGCACGTGTGGACGCAGGCAGACAGACAGGCAGACAGACAGGCCTCATCTATTGCAAAGCAGCATGACCGAATCTGCATACATTGTGCGTGCAGTTCCCCATCACAGCCATTCGTGAGATCAAACTTCTTCGCCGTCTGCGTCATCGGAACGTGATCGCCTTCCTGGGAATTCTCACACCGACGCGTACGCACTTTGACACAATGACAGACATGATTGACACACACGAGGTGCCGCGAGGCCGTGCTGCACACACATGGCCTCTCTCGATCTCTGTGGCTGCAGCTGCCCCCGCAGCTGATGCCTTCGACTGCTCCACAGCTGATGTGGCACAGGACAGCAACCAAGGCGACAGTAAGGGCGGTGATCCACCAGCAGGGCAGCCGCCGCCGCCGCCGCCGGACAGTGCCATCGCCGACCCAGCATCTGGGCCTGATGAGCACTCTCCCGCCATCTACATGGTATTTGACTACATGTACCATGACCTTCTTGGCCTTTCAGAGTGGCGGCACGGAAAGGTAGGGTGGGTGGTGCGTGGCGTGCAGATGAGATGCGAAGATGGTGGATATGTATGTGGTTGTGTGGTTGTTTTGTTTGTTGTGTGTGCTGTGCTGTGCAGTTTGATTTGTGTGAGATCAAGTGTCTGATGCGTCAGCTGCTGGAGGGGCTGCAGCACTGCCACCAGCACCACATCATACACAGAGATATCAAAAGTGAGTAGTCACGCGCGCCACTCGCGCCTCCCCTGCCCCCTCAACAAACAAAACACACACACGTGCAGTGCAGAAGCGGCCGTGCTGTGCTGTGCTGTGCTGTGCTGTGCTCTGGTGTGTTTATTGTGCTGCAGGTTCCAACCTGCTGCTGACGAAGGAAGGCGAGCTCAAATTGGGCGATTTCGGTCTTGCCAGGTCAGCGGAGCGGAGGGCCTGGTCCGTCCATGCATTCTTCATTCGTTGTGGTCATCTACCTTTGTCCTACTCATCAGGCTGCATGTCAAGTCGTCCCAGCAGGCGCACTACACCAACCGGGTCATCACACTGTGGTACAGACCGCCGGAGCTGCTGCTTGGTTCGGTCAAGTACGGCACCGCTGTCGACATCTGGTCCGCTGGGTGCATATTGGCTGAGCTGATGACGGGGAAGCCTCTATTCAACGGCGAGAGCGAGAAGCACATGCTCGAGATGATCTTCAGGGTGAGGCAGGCTGGCTGACCGATCGGCCGATCCACCGCACTGCAGGCCGTGCGTCCGTGGGCTGGTGTGGTATGTTGGGTGTATGTTTCATTCATGTGTGCATTAATGGGATGCCAATACAGTCATTCATTCATTCATTTATTGTGCATTCATCCAGTTGTGCGGGGGTCCTGACAGCACGACATGGAGCGAGGCGGTGCGGCTGCCCGAGTGGGAGAAACACAGGCCGGCGAGGCACTTCCCACGCACCATACGCAGCAGATTCAGAGAGTATGGACGCAGCGCAGAGAGAGTGGGGCAGAGGGACTGAGGGACTCCAGCGCCATGAGCCAGCCCATCCAGCCAGGCACATCAGACGCTAATGTGTGCGTGCGTGCGTGTGTATGGTTTGTGTGTGCTTGATCATGCAGCTGGGATGAGACTGGCGTCGATCTGCTGGACAAGATGCTCACACTCGACCCAGGCAAGACACAGACACACACAAAGACACACAGACACACACACACTCCCGTAGACACATGGACAAAGAGAGAGAGCATTGCTTTCCCTTCCCGACTCGTCGGTTCCTTCAGAGTGTCGGGTCACGGCGAGTGCAGCTCTGGAGCACCCCTTCTTCACCCACAGCACCCCGCTGCCCTGCCAGCCCAGTGACATCAAGCTTCCCGACCGGAGCTGCCACGAAATGGGTGTGGTCGGCAGCAAACGACCACACCCACCCGATGCCCCCCAGCAGCAGCAGCAGGAGCCGCCCCGCATTCCCTCTGACCCGTCCCAGCCACTGCTGCCGCTACCTGGGCACATATCTGCGCCGCACCACCATGCGCTCCTGGCGGCTCTGGACATCAAGCAGGAGAAGGGCAGCAAGAGGCACAAACCGCATGAATGAATCAAGGCATCGATACGATGAGTTGCGGCAGGGTTGGCGGGGTGCGTAGGTGTGTCGTGCGGGTGAGCCAATGCATGAGACCAGTGCAGGAATGGAAGGACCCAGCCAAGTAAATGCATCACCCTGCCCGCTGTGTCGCCCTGCACCCATGTCGTCCATTATCGTGTACGGCGCTGTGACCCGTCGTCTCTCGGTGTGCCGTTTGTTGGTCCGACCCGATCAGATCAGAAGAAAAGCGTCGTGATGGCCATGATGAAGCAGCAGGCGGACACGTAAGGGCTCAGCCGTTCTCCGATGCGGGCCATCTTCCACAGGAGGCCCATGAAGTTCATTCATTCATTCATTCGA